GTGTGTGGTGCTGAGGATCGAACCCGGGCCGCAAGCATGCCAGGTGAGCGCGCTACCGCTTGAGCCACATCCCCAGCCCCTTTCACTGTATTCTTACTAGCTTGGACATAATCAATTTTTTAAAAATCTTAGCCAGTTTAATAGGTTCAATCCTATGAAATCATTCATCAGTTAATGAAGGAGATGCCTTCTGAGAATTCCTTGTTAGGCAATTTCATTGTTGAACATTGTGAGTTGTACTCACACATACATACCTACAGGGTCAAGGCTACAACCTGGAAGTGGCCTCTTGATATAGTCAAGATCCAGCAGATATAAGCTACACAAAGAGCTACAGCTATCTTATTGTTTGCTTATTTTAATGAACAGGTTATACATTTTTTCATATGATTACTAATCACTGTTATTTCTATTTATTCAAGCTGACTATTCATAATACTTTGCCCTATTTTTAAAACATGCAGTTTTTTGTTAGTTACTATAAGGGTTTTTACCAAATATTACAGATCTTTTCCCCTGCATTTATTGAATATGTACTACATGCTAGGCTCTGTACCAAATATTGTACATATTGTATCCCACTCAATCCCCATATCAATCTTATAGAATGTAGATATTCTTATTTTTCTTAGAAGGAAAAGTGTGGTTCCAAGAGGTTGAAGAATTTGCCCAAATTCACAGTTAGTTGAGCAGGCATTCAAATTGGCCTCAATGACAATAAAAGTACATCAAAAACTATAATACACCATCTCCCTAATTGTCTTTTATCTTTTACATTTGTGGAGGGTTTTTGTATGCTATAAAGAAGTTTTAAGTTATCAAATGGTCAAATCCCCTATGGCACTTGAGTTTTCTGCCGTATTTCTAAAGCCCTCTCTTACTCCAACCATCTAAATATTCAATTTTTTTATACTACTTTTATATTTTATTTCTTTTTAAATCTTCAGTACTGTATTTCTGAAAACAATTTATGTAAGATTCATTTGTATATTTTTTTCCAAGTAGCTAACATTTTGTCTTAATATGTTTATTGAGACTCACAATTTGAGATGCCACCTTTATCATAAACCACATGCTTGGTCTGGATTCTCACCTGATGTAAAGCAGTACAGTTGACCTTTGTATAATAACCTTATCCCTGTCCACCTTGTGAAACTCTTTTATTTCCATTTCTAACTTTGTGTCTATGGATTCTTTTAATTTTCTTTTAATATGATAAATCATTCCTTAAAATACTGCTCGTGGCCAGATCGGGCAGCTAAACTAGAGGTTGCTCCAGTGAATTTCCTGTGGTATCAAATAAAACACAGACACACAATTTACCTTTAATTTCAGCCCCGGGGGCAGCTCTTCTGCCCTGGCCTCAATCTCCCCAAATGGGAGAGTGAGGTTAATGTCACAAGCGGCTGGAGAGAGAGAGAGAGAGAGAGAGAGAATATGAGAACATTCAGAAGTAGTCTTTTATTGGGGGAACTCTGATTCTTAGAAATTTCCATCCAGAAAAGGTCAAGAGAGGCAGGTTACAAGGACAGGTAAGGTAACTCGATCCCTGGGGATACAGGAAGGCATGCCCATGAATGAAGACACATTTGTGTCATTTTTACGATGGGGCCAGATCACTGGAAGTGACCAACAAGGCCTCAACCAATCAGGAGAAGAAAACACTAGTCACATGACATGGCGGCCTCCCACATTAATAAGGATTTTCTTCATCCTTTTCAATCCTTTCTCATCCTTTTGTATTCAGTTTATTTTATGTGCTGTTAGGGTCTTCAAATGTATATTGTTTCTTCTGTGATTTCTAAAAACAAATAGAAACAAGACTAAACAAACAAACCAACCCTAAGGCTAAAGTGGCTATAAACTAAAAATCTAAATTTTATCTTCAGGGTTGCTAACTTATTCTTATCAGTTTGTCCCCAAGTCATATAACTAAAAGCTAGGAAGTAGAATCAGGAAAAATCAAGGCTCTGAAAGCTGGAATAAGGACAGGAGTGGGGATTCAGAAAACTCCAAGGAGTCTCTGAACTCAACACCATGAGACCCCCTGCTTGCCAATGAAGCTTTTCCTTCCTTCTCATTTTCCTGAGGATGTTTTCTTCCTGACACAAAATGTATACTTTTTTTCCATACCAGCCACTTTTCTGATTCTCCAGTGAACCAGATATTCAGTTAAATTCTGATACTATCTACCTGGAGCTAGTATCAGATCCTACAATTAAAGGCTCAATCCCACAAGACTGATCTGTCACTGGAGGAGTTCCAAGTGAAAAACCAGCCCCTATCTCAGAGCAAAGCCTGTCCAAGGAAGGGGGTGTGACCCTTCTCCTTGGAAAGACCCACAGAGCACTCCTAGGCACATTCCCACCCTGCTAAGTTGTTTATCTACAAATAACAGGAGAGATCTACTGTGCCTGGTGTCCCTGACTGAGGCTAGGTGAGGACCCATAGCAACCCCCTAGCAACCACCAATCAGCATGAAACAAGGAAAATACCTGGGATGCCAGATGACCCCCCAGTAGTTTATGGTGGTTGATAACATGTTGGGAAACCATGTAGTTCAGCCATACACCCCTTGTGGCTTAAACCAATCAGTTCAAAGAAATCCCCCTTTCGTACTAGCCAATCACCCCTACCCACTTGTTCAGCCAGTGAATGTGCTACTCATGTTTTAGAGTTGTTTTATGATTTTCCTGCAGTGTGTGATGATTTGCTAAGAGATGTTATGATGTATGTGGAGTCCCTGCCTTCCCCAAAGAGTGTATAAAACTGCTGCAAACCCTGTGATCGGGGTCTCTCAGTGTCACCAGTTGCCGTGTGCGCTGAGAACCAAACTAGCTCGCAATAAACACCTCTTTGCTGCTTACATCGATCTTGATCTCTGGTGGTCTTTTGAGGGTTCCGAATTCGAGCATAACACAAGAGAGGGGGACTTTGACTCAGGAAAAATGGGGTCCTTGGTAAAAGGCGAGTGACTTACCCAAGACAGATTCAACCAATAGATTTTATTGGGGGCCTGCCTGAAGGAGAGGTAGAGAGCAGAGAGAAGAGGAGGAGGGGAGAAAGAGAGGAAGAGGGCAGAGAGAGAAAAGAGAAGAGAAAGAGGAGGAAGAGGGAAAACAGGAGAGAGAGCGTGTGCTTACAAGCTTTGGCTTAGAAGAGTTGCATAGGGGACATGGCTGTGCTGATTGGCAAGGTGACTCAGGAACAGCGAGCGGACACTGTGCCCTGCAGGGATTGGTCAAGAAAACCTTTGAATTTGGCACTCTTCTTTGGCTTGGCGCCCTTTGGAGAGGTGGGGGAGGGGTAAGGGATTCCGTGATGTTCTCCAAGAAGGGGGAGTCTCCCACACACCCAATACTTGGCAAGCGATGGAAAAGAATTTTAGCACACACTAGTCAGAGACACATACACATTTATTAGGAAAGAAGGTACTCATTCAAGAAAAAATACTGGCTATCTCCAGAGTAAGAGACAACAATGCCTTGGTGTGAGATATTAATAATTATAGAGGAACAGTAGTTAGGGACTAGACTAGAGGTGAAGTCAGGGTGGAGCACCATGATATTGTGCCACTTTTTCTGCTGCCTGTGCATTGCCCTCATATTATTTTTTTTGCAAGCAAGGGTACAGAGGTCAAGGGCAAGGACCAAGGTTGGGGGTAAAGACTTGACTGGGTTGCCCACAATGCTTGTTTTGCATTTCAAACTTTCATGGGTGTTTCTGCATTCCAAGGTCTCCAGGGTGGTCTTTTGAGACTCAATATTATCTTTCCTTTTCTATTTGCTTCTTTTTTCTTTCCTTTTCTGTATCCTCAAACTCCTATCTTACCCCTACCTCAATTGCCAGCCACAAAGAGGGTGCCCAGGTGACACATTTCTGCTCAATGAAAACTTGGGACTTACCATGGTTTCTAGCCTTTAGTTTTGATAATTGTCAAAAATGACTCAGGAAATCACTGAAGTATTTTAGTACCAGTTAATTATGTTGGTACAAACCAGGAAAGGCCAAATGGGACAGATGTGCAGGGGAGGGACACTACCCTCCCAGTACCTCCATGCCTTCATCAACCTGAAGCTCTCCAAATTTAGTTCTTTGGGGATTTTAAAAGGGCCTCATTAGGTGAGCAAGATTGATTAAATCATTAGACATTGATGATTAACAAAGATCTGCAACCCCTGTCCATTCCCCAGAAACCGTGGATGGAGTAGAATCCAAATGTTACTGTCCAGGAGTGTTGCCATCTAGCCCTGGCTGCCTAAGCCCTCAAAAATCTCCCTCAAAAAGTTCTAGCCCTTTAAAGATGTCTTTTTTTTTTTAATCAATCAGCCCCTGTCCTGAAGCTATCTAAGGCACCCCCCCAACCAGTTTTCTCATTAGCATACAAGAGATAATATCATCACTCAAGAAATTACAAGGGGTTTATGAGCTGTTGGCTGGGAACTAGGACAAAAACCAAATATCTATTTTATTTTATTATGCTTTACTTCCTTTTAAAAAATCCTTTATAGTATTGTGTTATGGGTGAATGGTTTCCCTTCCCACCCCAACTCACATGTCCTAACTCCAGGTACTAAAATGTAGCCTTATTGAGAGAGGGCCTTAATAGAGACAATCTGGTTAAAATGAGGTCATTAGGAGTGGCCCTTCCCTTGGTATGGCTGGTTCATTCAGAGAAAGGGGATATTTAGACAGAAAGGTATTCACAGATATGAAGAGATGCAGGGAGAAAATGGTGGTCTACAAGCCAAAGGGGAGCCTGGAACAGATCCTTCCCTCATCACCATCAGCCCTCAGAAGGAACCAATCCTGCCAACACCTTGATCGTTAACTTATGGCCTCCAAAACTGTGAGACAATAAACTTTTGTTGTTTAAACAACTCAGTGATGCTTTGTGCTGTTTTGGCCATTATAAAATAATTGCATGGAAAGAGTGACAGAGAAAAACGACTTAAAAAATGAAACTTTGGCCAACTACCTTGATGCAGTCTATAATCCCAGTGGCTTGGGAGACTAAGGCAGGAGGATCTCGAGTTCAAAGCCAGCTTCAGCAATGGTGAGGCACTAAGCAACTCAAATGAGAGCCTGTCTAAATAAAATACAAAAAGGGCTGGGGATGTGGCTCAGTGCACCAGTCCCCCTGAGTTCAATCCCGGGTACCTGTCCCAGCCCCGCAAAGAAACTTTCTATGGGAAAATGTATATTCCTTAAAGCAAAGGAAAAGAAGAAAAAAATAATAATTTTACACTGTTAAATATTATTTATAAATGACTGAGTTGTAAATATTGTTACAACTTTAACACTCTAGTTTTGATTTACGGTTCTCAATTAAATTAAAAACTGATTTTAGATGATGGAGTGCTTTTTTTTTTTTGTCTTTGCAAGGTAGTTAAAACTTGGTTATTATCACTATAATAGAAACGAGGCCATGAATCAGAATCTTTGTGTGTCTGTGCTCTGTGCATGGGCAGAAGCTCCACCATTAATATATTCTTATTTTGAAATCCTCCATATCACAAATATGCTCCTTATCATTCTTAGAAAATCTTACTGTCTCCTTGTGAGGTAGAAGTTTAGGGACATCAAGAAAAATGCTGGCTGGAGAACTAGATGGATGAGTCATCATGTCCCCGTTTGAGATAGGTCCCATTACCATGACAGCCCCAGCTACGGAGGGCTTATCACCATGGCAGCTTCCACCACAGGTCCTGTATTCTAGTTCAGAGAGTTAACCAATGAGAACAAATAGGCCAAGGTTTTCAATCAAGTCTCTGCAGAGAGGGGTCAGAGGCTCAGCTCAGCATCTGATAAGACTCGCCTACACAATAGGGCTTTGAGCCACTTTCTAGTTTGGTCGACTCTGCTCCACTTCATGGAGTGTGACTTTCACATTCAATAAATTTATGCTGTCTTTTCCTTTTGCATGTCTCATTCAATTCTTTGTTCAGGATGCCAAGAACCTGAAACCCAGCTG